GAAGGGAGGGGAAGGGGAAAGGAAAAGAGGGAAAGGAAAAACTATAAGAAAAGAAAAAAATGGAAATGAAATGTAATGTAAATAAGGTAGGGCAGAGGGGGTGAAGGGTGCACAGGTAATGGGGAAAAAAATAAGAACCAAGGTACATCATGTAGAGATACAAACACCCAATGATAAATGTAACCGAATTGTATACCTAAAATGTACCAATAAAAGAACTAAAAAAAAAAATAGAAAAGAAATCACAGAGAAATGTTTCCTTTGCTTTTGGTTTTGGTGTTGTTGTTTATTTTTGTTTTTTCTTGATTGTTCTTGTTTTATTATGAGTGTGAACATTATTTTTAGTTTTTCTGTCTTGCTGTGTTCTTTTCTTTTCCTTCTTTCTTTCCCTCCTGTCTCCTTCCCAAAGCTTGGGTAATTTACCTTTGTCTTTCAGCCTTGCTTCTAATCTCTTCTCTCCTTTTTTTCCTCCTAAGCCTTTTAAATTTTCTCCCCTGAGTGTAAAATTGTTCTATTGAGTGGATATACACTGTATATAATTTTCTGATTTGTTTCAGATTCTGTTATAGGGCCGGGGACTTAGCTCAGTGGTTTCGCTGCCTGCTGCACAAGTGCAACGACCCGAGTTAGATCCCCAGTACCAAAAAAAAAAATCTAGAATTCAGATTCTGTTATATAATTATAACTCTTGTACCTATGGTTAAAGGCGGCAAATTAACAGTTATCACAATTTGTCATTTTCTAGACTGTGCTTGATGCTGTTCTTATTCATGATTGTACTACTTTAGACAAAAATAAATAAACAAAATGGTATTGAAGAAAATGAAATAAGGAAATTACATTTTTACACTTAAATAAGCATTTGTTAGAATGACAAGAAGAATGTGCAAAATTCTCAATTTTCAATCAGTATTGCTATTTTCTCAAAGCGGACTTTAAAGCTGACACATGGTGTGCAGTGCTGAACTATGCATTCTTTGAGAAAACAGAATCTGTTGACAAATTTTGAAATACATTCAAAGCAGAAGTGAAGAAAAAAATAATTGACAAATCATTACTATTAAATTCAGAAGAGTTACAATAATTTTGAAATTTTTCCAGAACTTTTAAAATTAAAGACAACTTTTGTCTAGAGAAGTAAAAAATAAAAATAAAAATTTTGCTTACAATGCAAAACCAGGTTTCAGCTGAAAAATAAAGTCTATTAAAAACATCAACAACGGGCCCAGGCATTTAGCTCAGTGGTGCTGCCACCTGCCTGAAAGCACAAGGTCCCAAATTCAATCCCCAGTACCAAAAAAAAAAAAAAATCAACAACAGCAAAAATTCCAAATATTTATTCAGCAATGTTAATAAAAGGATGTATCCATTAAATTTTTTTCTGGCATTTCTTTTCAATAAAAAGGAGAATATTCAAGATGTCTAAATGAGACATTAATGGGCTACAAAAAAGTTATTGCGATAATAAGAATAAAAACTTCCCTTTTCAAATTGTCTTTTCTAATTAATAAGCAAAGAATTAGTATATGTTGGGTGTATTACATCAGGATATCACACACCTGTAATATCCCGCTACTCAGGAGGGAGATTGAGACAGGAAAACGGCCAGTTCAAGGCCAGCCCAGGCAACTTTCCAAGACCCTGACTCAAAAAATAAAATAAAAGGGCTGGGGATGTAGCTCAGTGGTAGAGGGTTGCCCAGTATGTGTGAGGCTCTGGGTTCAGTCCAGCATTGGGAAAAAAAATGGCATTGATAAATCCACACTGCCAGGTTTTCCTACTTTCCAAGAGAGTACTTGCTTTTAAACTAGGTACTTTTATTTTGGGCCTTGAATTGGTTCTTTACAAATTAGAAAAAGTATAACTAGGCATGGTGGTGCACACTGTAATCCTAGAATTCAGGAGGCTGAGGCAGGAGGATTGCAGCAAATTCAAGACCAGCCTGGGCTACATAGCGAACTCAACCTGAACTACATAGTGAGACCCTATCTCAAACCAACCCACCCCCCCAAAATTAGAAAAACAACATGTTTGTCGTAAGAAAAATTTTAAATACATATACATGCAATAAAATATGAATATCCTCATCTACCCCACTCATTTCCATTCCCACTCCTCAGCACTTACTCTGCTGAAGTTTTTATATGAATTCTTCCAGATCCCTTCCTGAGCAGATACAAAGGCAGTTTTTATGTGAATATAAATACATGCTTATTTCAAATATATATATATATATATATGCTTATTTCACATTTGTTCTACAGCTTTTTTTAATATGCCAACTTCACACAGCTACACAGGTCCAGGACTGAAATGTGGCTCTCATCTATCTGTCCCTGGAACTTACCTGGTTGCCAATACACGGCTCCAAGAAGTCCACACCAACTTGGGAAGTCTGGCTGGGCAGGCCTGTAGAGTTAAATGATATCAGCTGAATTTTCTTCCTCCATTTTTGGTGCTGGAGATTGAACACAGAGCCCTGTCATACTAAGCATGTGCCTACCACGGAGCTACATCCCCGGCTCTATTAGCTGAATTCATGACTCAATGAAGACCTACCCGATGAAGGACTCAGAAATATACAACAACCAGGAAAGAAATATAATAATTATGAACATGATGTTGCAACATGGAAAGTGATTAGGGTAAAATCCTAAATGGAAAAAAAAAATGGTACTGGTGATTTATCCCAAAATAAGAGAATTGTGTGCCAAGCTTAAATCAATTTCTTCACTTCCTATGATAAAACCACAACCAGTTTAGATGGAATATAAAATCCTGTCTCCCTCTGCAAATGTTAAAGTTACTATATGGCTACTATTATGGGTAGAATTGTGTCCCCCAGGAGATATGTTGACACCCTAACCCCTGGTATCTTATTTATTCATTTATTTTATAGCAAAACATTTATTGGTACATTTTAGGCATACATAATGATAACACTCATCGTAGGGAATTTGCACCTGTACATGGTATATTCCACCTTTTTTTTCCCATTCCCCCTCTCCCTTCAAGACCCCTCCCCTCCCCTTTATTTATTTTATTTTATTTTATTTTTTGGTACAGGGGATCAAACTCTGGTCCTTGCGCTTGCGCTTGAGCAGCAGGTGGCAAAACCACTGAGCTGAATCCCCGGCCCCAACCCTCCCCTCCCTTTATACAAAAGCTTTGTTTCTATTTTTTCTTTCTATTTTCCTTTTTTCTTGTCTCTTCCCTCTTTTCTCCTTCCCTCCTCCCTTGTTCCCCTCCCCATTTAAACATTTTCTTCCCATTTCCCAATATCTATTATACAACGTGATCTTATTTAGAGAGCAGATCTTTGAGCCAGGTAGGGCACTACACGACAGTGACCCCAGCACTCTTTGGGACAGAACAGAAAGATCACAAGTTTGACCTCAGCCTGGGCAAATTAGCAACCCTAGGCCTTATCTCAAAATAAAAAATCAAAAGGGGACTGGGGATGTAGCTTGGTGTGAATGCCTTGGGTTCAATCCCCAGTACTGGAAGGAAGGGAAGGAGAGGGGAGGGGAAGGGAGAGGAAAAATGGGGGGGGAGAAGAGGAAAGGGAAGAGAAGGGAAGGGAGAGAAAGGGAGAGAGAGAAATCAGGTCTTTGCAGATGTCACAATTTATCACAAGGTCACTAGGATGGGCTTTAATCCCATGTGACTGGTTTCCTTCTAGGAAGAGGGAAACTTGGACCCAGGACACATAGAGAGGAATCACTCTGTGGCCGTCCAGATGGACAGGGAGGCCACCATATGAAGAAGAGCTCTGCTGCCCGGGACAAGGACCACCTGAGGCTGGAAGAGTGGGAGAGGCCAGAAAGGGTCCTCCCCTAGACGCTTCTTCAGAGGAAGCCCGGCCCTGCCAACACCTTGGACTTCCGGCCTCCAGAGCAGTGAGAGAACAAACTTCTGTTGTCTCAGCCACACTGTGTGCAATATTGTGTTATGGCAGCCCAGAAATCATTTACGATGTTTAAGATCAGGGAAAGGGGACAAGTATTTATGGAGAACCTATGAACTTCCTGGTTCCATGCTCAGTGCTTGATCTACCTTATTTAATTCTAACATCCATGGGAGGAAAGCCCTTGATAGAAGAAGAAATCAAAACTCAGAGGTTGATATGCTGAAGCTCCTTCAGCTGGAAAGGGCTCCAGCTACAGCTCTGCTTCCGCACCGGACAATCTGTTCAAGGACAGAGCCTTCCCTTGAGAACCCGAGTCAGCAGAATTGTGTGCACTGGTGTTGCCATGCAACCTTCAACCAGGCGAACCAGACTTCACCGTTGTCCTGAATGATGGGTCAACATCCCCTGGCCACCGAATAATGCTGCTTATAGCCCTGAAGCTTCATAGTTCACCAGTCAAACTCCGTGTTTTTAACCCAAAATTAATGCCAATGCTGAGATTGTGAATACATTATTGCATCTATTACTGATGGGCCATCATATTGAATGGTGCACTGGGGTGAATGTCACAGATAATGTCCTATCATGGAACTTAATTCTTGGATTTAGAAGATTTGATTCAACTTTCACATTCTTGTAAGGATTCGGTGACTTCTGGTAATAAATGATATAGCTGGTTTCCAGGATATGGAAACCCAGGACACTATTATAGTTCAAAAAGTCAATATGGGGGGAAAATGTCAATATGATATGTACTAAGAACTGCGAAGCCAGATTGGCTGGGTTCTGATGTGAGCAAAGAAACAAGCTAACTAGGGGGCCAGAGGTGGATAAGCTTCCTTTCTCCCCGACAGCTGGCCTCTTTGTGCACAACCTGTGCAACTCTGCAGGGCAACCCTGCGGGGAGGTTTCCACCTTGCGTGACTATGGGGGATGGTGTTCTCCACGTCATACCAACTGACCAAAACATCATGCCAGGAGCAAGGAAGCTAGGCAAGCTGTGAGTTCAAGACCATTTAGGGAGGTTTGATATTCACAGTATTCCAAGGAAATGATACATTGTCCCAAAAAGAAAGTGGTCGCTGCCCCATCTCCAATGGGACCACTCTGGACTGCCACAGGGTGCTGCTGGGATTTTAGTGAACACACCCCAGTGACACTCATCTGTCTAATTCAGCTCAGCAAGCAGGAGTTGGAACATGACATCCTGGCTAAGACTCAGGATATGTGTGTCCAGGAGGAGTAATTAGCAGTGCATAGAGAAGAAGCCTTGTCTAGGGTCCCATTAATTACAGGGCTGCTGGCAACTCAGGTGGACCCATGTGAATGCCTCCTGCACAGAAAGGTCACATCCTGGTGCTGCTAGTCAGATTGGTGCAAGATCTGATTGCTGTTCATGGCTATTTCCCTGATAATCACTCCCCTGGGGTTGGTCCAGCTCCAACCTCGAATATTGGAGCACAGTCATTTGCAAGATTTATGGAAAACAATTTTTCAGAAAATGCGTTCAATTTTCATTGGGCAAATTCCTCTTTCCCTGGTAAGTGCTGCAGCATATGGAGCAGGTAAATGTTTTAATGGACAGCATAAAAGTAACATTTTTCTTCTGAAGTGGATGATTTGCACTTAGGGCTTCCAGTCCCGCTTTTTTCACCAGCGCAAGCGTTCAGTGCAAATTAAAGAGAGAGGAAAACTCCCCACCTCAACCTTGCAATCTCCATGGCTCAGTAATGATGCACCAGGGCAGACTCCTATCACACCCTCCAGCACTCTTGTCCTCTGGGAGAAACTTTTATTGAATTTCTCTACCCCGGTTTTAGCCTCCTACCTGTCTCTTGTGTTATACATGTTGATCTTATTCCTTTCTAAGTTTTAATACAATAAGATGAAAATGGCCAAGGGCAGTCTTTGTAGTCTCAGGGAGGAAAGATTAATGGTAGAAACAATCACCTAATGAAAAGTTAGGAGGAAAATGCGTTGCAGTAAACATTACCCAAGTGAATGTGCTCAGCGCCTGGTTGCTCCTTAGATTCATAACAATTACAGTGATTATTAATTTTGTTCTTGCTTTTATGACATAGAAGAACAAAAACAGGCATGTTGGCATCAGCCGTCTAGTAATTTGAAATAGAATAACAACAATGTAATTCACTCATTCAGCCACATCTGGGTATTAAGCATCTACCACGCTTCACCCTTCCATGTTTTTATATATCCATGTATGTAGCCCACAATCTGTCTCCTGTGTGTGGATTGGGTGGCTGTCTTTTGTTCTCTCTTTACACCTTTCACACGGTATCGCTGCAGAGGCACTGTATGTTACTCTGCCCAGTTAGATGTTTATCTTCGGAGTTCACAGTGGGTTGAGGCAGGGGGGAGTGCGGCAGATCCCGCTCTCCTGCCAGTGCTCGACACCTGTCCCAAATGAGTGACAGCACGTGTTTGATCAAATCCCGAGTCCTCACATTTATAGCTAAATGGATGCATATTGAGGCCATTTATTTCATAAGTGAAATAAATAGGACACACGTGTAAATACCGAATAGTTTCTCTAGTGTGAGAAACTGAAAGTGTAAATAAGGATGAAAATGACTAAAACGAATAATTGATAATTTGAAATAGGAAAAGGTCCAAAGGGGTAGAGGTGGAGGGAGGGGAAGGGGAAAGGGAAGAAAAGAAAGGAAAAATTATGAGAAAAGAAAAAAAATGGAAACAAAGTCTATGTAAATAGGGAAGGGTGGAGGGGGTGAAGGGCGCACAGGCAATGGGGAAAAAATAAGAACTAAGATACATCAGGTACAGGTACAACACCCAGTGATAAATGTAAAGGAACTGTATACCTAAAATGTACCAGTAAAAGAATTTAAGGAAAAATAAATACCGAGACCTCAGGTGACGGCAAAATAAACTATTCTCCTACGGCTGCTCTGAGCATCGAGAGGAACGACTGGGTGCTTGTAAAGAGCTGCACAGTTAAAAGAGCAAATTTGTGCCTGGGCAAGTTACAGAGACTCTGATTTAAAGTGAAAAATGAAAAGGTCTGGGGATGGAGCTCAGTGCGCCCTGGGTCACCCCATGAGTCTCATTGTGTGTCCCCGCCTCCAGTCTGTCACTTACTTGCCCTGCTAACAGCTGCTTCACCATCTCTGCCTCCCCATCCCCAGTGCAAACACCCCAGCCCCAGGAAATCGTTGCTTACTCTGTCCTCTCACTCACAGGCAGGGTCAGATTCCTCTCTATGGAAGCCAGCAGGACGCCCTGTACTTCTCTGTTGTGCGATTTATCACAGCCTGAAGGTACATGTTTGTATGACTGTTTAATTATCATCAGCCTAATGTCTCTTCCATTAGATTAAGAGGTCATAAATCATACCTCTAGTTATGAGAGGTATTCTAAAAGCCTGTCAGTGGCAGAAATGGGATCAGTGTATTAATATCAAAGCCATGCATCACCAGGCATGATGGCACACACCTGTAACCCCAGCACTTGGGAAGCTTAGCCAGGAGGATCTCTATGAGTTTGAGGCCAGCCTACACTACATAGTGATCTTAAGGCCAGCCTGAACTACATAGCAAGACTCTTTCTCAATAACAAACATACATGCATTTGACTCTACCTCACCTGTTGTTGTGGATCCTTCAAACTCAAGACTTTATCACATAGCCCAGGCTGCCCTTGAACCTCAGCCTCCAGAGGGCTGGGATTACAGGTGTGAGGTACTATACCCAGAACCCCAGCCTCTTCCTATCTCTGTCTTTGCCTCCTGGCTTCCAGGAGACCAACAGGCCTCCCCTACCCCATGCCTCTGCCATGATGTGCTACACTGCCATGGGGTGGAAGCAGCAGGGCCAAGTGACCATAGACTTCAGAAGCTGTGAGTCAAAATAAACCTTTCCTCTTTTTCAGTTTATTACCTCAGGCATTTTGTCACAGTGGCAGAAAACTGCTTAACACAGTGGCTCATTTAAATAGATCCTGGGAGCTGGGTGGTATGTAGGTGGTAGAGTATTTGCATAAGGCCCTAGGTTAAACCCGAAGACCTACAAAATAAGTAAGTAAAAGAGTAGCTCTCCGTATGGCCCACCAGGTGGGCTTTCCAGCTACCCCAGGTCTGTGTACACTAAAGGGCAGCAGAACTTACCACTCAGTGCCGAGAGTCTGCTTAGTGTGCACAATGTGGGTTCGATCTGGCACCACAGAAAAGGGGAGGAGAAGGGAGGACAGAACTGTTTCACAAGTCTGGACCAGTATGAGCACTAAGTTCAGAAAAGCAGCTGAGCTTCTGTGCCTGAGGTAGGAGAGGAACAGCAATACTGACCTTTATCCTGTCTCAGAAAGGGGGGGACCCTCTTGTTCCCGTTCATTCAACAGCTGTTCTTTAGAGAGAGGTTAGGGCTAGAAATGTAGCACAGTGGTAGACCATCAGGCTTCTGAGTTCAAGCCCTAGCAACATTAAAAAAATGAATAAGATAAAATAAGAGAGAGCAGGCATGATGGTACATACCAGCTACTTGGGAGCTAAGGCAGGAGATCACAAGTTTGTGGCCACCCTGAGCAATCTAGCAAGACCCTGTCTCTAAGAAAAAATAAAAGGACTAGGGACATAGCTCAGAGGTGGAGTGCTGGGTTCCATTCCCAGTGCTGCAAAATAAATACATAAATAAATAAAATGAGGGGGAAGGAATGTTTTTTCTGGGCATAGAGCATTCACAGGTACTGAAGATTCTAGACAAGAACATTTCAGGACTTGAAAATCATGGCAGAGTCATCAGAAATATGCTATGTGATTCCCAGAAGAGAAGCGGGGATTGAGTAGAAGATCTCATCTTGGAGTCTGACACACTGGTTTGGATATCGACTATCACTTCCCCAGTGTGTTAGGCAAGTTTCTTAACCTGGGTGAAACAGTTTCCTTGTCTAAACACTCTCTCAGGAGTGTCATGAAAAGTAAACCAAACCACATTGGTAATCATCCAGAAAAGTATTTAGGACGTTACAGATGCTCAATAAATATAAATTCTCTTTCTGTAATTGTTTCCCTGTCTTGATTTCTACAACTATTCCTTTTCTACTTGTGTTTGTTTGTTTGTTTGTTTTTGGAGACAGGTCTGGCTATGTAGTCCAAGCTGGCCTCAAGCTCATGCCAATCCTCCTGCCTCAGCCTCCCAAGTGCTGGGATTACAGGTGTGTGCCACAATGTCTGGCTCCTTTTCTCCAGGTGATGGTCAAATATTTTTTCATAAAATTATTTAAAATATGTATTTCAGGGGCCAGGGATTTAGCTCAGTGGTTCCGCCACTTGCCTCACAAGCACAAGGACCCGAGTTCGATCCCCGGTACCAAAAAAAAAATATATATATATGTATTTCATTGAATACTAGCGAAAAAATTCTACTGTGTTCCTAGAATTTATAGCTACATTAAGTCTCAGACATTATGTTCATTATTAATAATCTATGTCCTAGATTCATTTCTTCTGATGTGGGGAACACTATTTTCCCCTTACTTTGAAAATGACTTCCAGTTCAATAAGCTTATCCGAGATAAAAAGGATGGAAAATTAATATTCATTTATCACCTGGTATGTGCCAGTGCTAATTAATTAATGGGCTCAGGAGCCACAATACCCAGGTTTAAGTCCAAATTCTACCACCTACTATTACTATTACTGTTACTATGTAATCCTGAGCAGGTAACAAACTCTTGCTGTGCGTTTCTAACCCATAAAATGGTGGTGATTGTACTGACTTCATAGGAGAGTTACAGCAATCAAATGTGATCATGAGAACAGTGCTTGGCACATATAAATGCTCAGTAATAGCTGTTATTACTTCCCCCATGTTAGATATGGCTTGACCTTCACAGCAATGCTTCACCAGCTGTGCCTTTCTCTCCTGTGTCCTCTGAATGAGACACCTGCCATCTCAACACCTTTCCTGGCACTCAAGGCTACCACTCCTAGGAGCTTAGCAACCCAAAACCCTGAACTTTCCTCCACAGCCTGACATTTTCTGGGAGGCTGGAACTGGTTCTGCTGAACTATTAAAACAATAAACAAAGCCAGGTGTGGTTACACACTCCTGTGATCCCAGCACTTGCAAACCTGAGGCAAGAGGATCACTAGGAGTTTGAGGCCAACCTGGGCTACATAGTGAGTGCAAAGCCAGCCTGAACTACAGAGGGAGACCTTGTCTCAAAAAAAACAAAAACAAAAACAAAAACAAAGCCAGTGTTAGGGATGTATCTCAGTGGTTCTGCCGCCTGCCTTGCAAGCGCAAGGTCCCATGTTCAATTCCCAGTACCAAAAAAAAAATACAACTTCTTTACATTTGTCTAACAATTCTACAAACCATTGTCTAATAGTTCTAAAAATGAGTTTTAGAGCAACTTTTATTCCAGGTTAAATTACACCCAAGCTGAGCATGGTGGCACACACGTTCGAGGCCAACCTGGGCTACATAGTGAGTTCAAAGCCAGCCTGAACTACATAGTGAGATCCTGTCTCAAAAACCAAATACATACATACATACATACATACATACATAAAATTACACCCAAATTCATGGTGACTGAACCCTGTAGCCACCTGACAGCTTCAATAAGCAAAAGGGGAAAAGGAACTCACTCTTAATGGGTGCTGATATTTTGTGCTGAGCACTTTGCATTTGCTATTTAATTTTCTTGGCAAGTTAGTACTATTTGCCTCAATTTTCAGACAGTAAATTTAAAGATCAGACAAGCTATGTGACTCCTGCAAACGTGGGACAGGTAGTTAGTGTCAGAAACAGCACAACAACACAGACCTGCCTGGTTCCGATGCCTTATTAAATCATTCCCGTAAGTACTTGGAACCTCTTCGAGACATCCTCTCAAATCCCTTGCTTCAGTACTAGCTAAAGGTTGGTTTTCATTACACACCAAGCCCTCTTCACTTCCTCCCAAGCTTTGGGGAATACAACAGAGAAGTCGAATTTTTCTTCTGGATTCTCCCATGGGAACTCATATTGTAATTCACTTCTGTCTTGTTACCAACTTTAACCACTTTAAACTCACGGAAATCTGCTAAGAAGATGTTAGCACAGATTTCCCCACAAGCTGGGAAATAGCAGGCCCCTTTGACACGTTTAAGGAGTCATCAGACAACATTCTGTGAGCCGACACCCTTCCTGGCACTCAGAGAGAACAAGTACAGAGTCTCCTTAACAGTTCAAGATGGCACCGAGGAAGGGAGCCAGAGACCAGGGAGAGCAGATTTGGGCCCTTTTTTTTTAATTGAACTTTTCATTTTGAAACAATTATAAATTTTCATGGAATTGTAAGAAACAATACAGAGAGAGTCCATTAATCAGCTTTCCTCAATGGCAATTTTTTTTAAGTATTACTAAGAATTCAACCCAGGACCTTCACACTAAGCTACATTCCCAGCCCTTTACATATTCATTTTATTTTTTATTGAGACAGGATCTGGCTAAATTGCCTAGGCTGGGATTGAACTTGCAATCCTCATGCCTCAGCCTCCCAGAGTGCTGCGTCACAGGCATGCACCACCACACCTGGCAATACCCAATGGTAACTTCTTACAAAATTATACCACAATCTCACAAACAGGATATTGACAACGATATTGTCAAGATATAGAACAGCTCTGTCACTACTAGGTTCTCTAATAGCAGTCTTTTGTAACTACATCTGATTCCCTCCCATCTTTGCCCCCTCCTTAACCTATGACAACCACTAGCATGTCCTCCACGTCTATAATTTAATCAGTACAGAATGTAATACAGCTGGGTGCAGAGATGCACAGCTGTAAACTAGGCTAGCCTCGAATTAGGAATGTAGCCTCAGCTCACCTCAAACTCTAGGGATCCTCCTGCATCAATGTCCCTAGTGCTGGGATTACAGGCATGCACCACCACACCCAGTTTGAACTGTTTGCTTTTTCCTATTGGGTTTCAAGAGTTCCTATGTGATGTGGATGCCAATCCCTTAGGATACAGGCTTGTAACTATTTTCTCCTCAGGGCTTTCTTTTCATCCTTTTAAGGATACCTTTTGCAAAACAAAGGTTTTAGTTCTGAAGTCCAATTTATCAAATTTTTCTTTCAAGGAATTTGTGTTTAGTGTCGCATTAAGAACTTTGCTAAGCCCAAGATCCTGAAGAATTTTTTTGTTTTTTTTTTCTTTCCTAAAAGTGATTTACTTTTATATTTTACATCTGAGTCTGTGGCCCATTTCAAGTTGATTTTTATGTAAAATGAAAGTCAAACATAACTTTTCCCCACAAAGGTCTAACTGCTCTAGCATTATTTGTTGAAAGGCTACTTTCTTCCATAAAATGCTTTAATATCTTTGTCAAAAAACAGCTGGGAAAGCCAGGTGTGGTGGTGCACACCTGTAATCCCAGCACTCTGAGGGTGGAGAAGGGAGAACTCCAAGTTTTCACCTAGCCTGGGCCACTTAGGGATTTAGGAAGACTGTCTCAAAATAAAAAATAAAAAAGGGATGGTAATTTAGTTCCATGTGAAGGCCCTGGGTTCAATTCACAGCATTGCAAAAATAAAGTAGGAATAATCTTGTCTACATCTACAAAACAGTTTTCTGGGTTTTGATAGGAATATTGTTATATTTATACATATAAATTTTGTTAACATTATCATCTTTATTATGATGAGTCTTGCAGTCCATGAACATAGTACACCTCTCTATTTAAGTCTGCTTTTATTTCTTTCATCAACATTGGGCAGTTTTCAGCATACTAGTCCTATGCATGTTTGGTGAAATTTACATTTATGTATTTTTTTTCAGCAACTGCAAATGGAATTGTAATTTTTTTTTTTTCAGTACCAGGAATCAAACTCAGGACTTTGCACTTGCCAGGCAGGCATGGCACCACTAAACTACATCCCCATCCCTGGAATTATAATTTTAATTCCAGTATTTATGTGTTCATTGCTGGTATACAGATGTATGTAGTTTTTTGTTTTGGGGGGTTTTTTGGTACAGGGGATCAAACTCAGGACCTTGCACTTGTAAGGCAGGCGGTGGAACCACTGAGCTAAATCCCCGGCCCTGTAGTATGTTTATTCTGTAAACTTGCTAAACCCATTTCTTAGTTCTAAAAAAAAAATTTTTTTTTTTTGAGTACTGGGAATGGAACTCAGGACCTTGCACTTGCCAGGCAAGTGTGGCACTGCTAAGCTTCACCTCCAACCCCTACAATTTTTTTTTGTAGATTCCTTGGGATTTTTTTTTTTTGAGACAGGATCTCATTTTGTGTCTAGGCTGCACTTGAACTCACTGTGTAGCCCAGGTGGCTTTGAGCTCTTAGGAATCTTCCCACCATCAGCCTCTCTCTAGTGCTGGGATTATAGGCATGCACCACCACACCCAGCATCTTGGAATTTCCTACCAAAAAAATCATATTAACTGCAAATAGAG